GTAACATCTAGATTTAATGTCCAAGGCTCCAAGATAAAAAGCCTCAACAAATAAAGTGAGTAATAATCCAAGAAAATCAAAATATATCACTCAATCAAAAGTATTTAAAATATAAATAAAGTAGTATTTTCTTTGAATATATTGAAACACCAGTTTTTAAGTCATTTGTAAATTGAATCTAATTAAAAACGTCTGCTTTATCTACTTATATGAAATAAAATATTATATTTTATACAAAATTAAACTTGCGGTTTTTGCTAACTATTTTTATTGGTCAAAGCAAATTTAATAAATCTTTGAGTATTAGTCATTATTTTCAATTAAAAATAAATGTTTTTATGCATGTATACCTAAAAAATAAATTAAATATATGGAAAAAAAAGTCTGAATAAACCTAATGTATTTTACATTAAATTCCTAGACCTGAATTCTACTTTAAATGTTTCCCAATTAAAAACAACTGTTTTATATGCGAATATCCAACAAAATATTATTAACTGCTCTGTTTTGGATGAATTAACATATTTGAAATAAAATAAAACTGGGGCTTTTAGCTGAGCGAAGTTTGACTTAATTTAGTTACAACAAGTTCTAACTTGATTTCAAGTTCGACTGGGATTATCGCAACGCACACACACACACATTCGATCACTCACTCACACACACATGCGCGCATATACTAAGCGCGATGAGCTCATTCCCAATCACATGTATTGAAAAAGTATGAAAGAGCGAGAGCAAGGGTTGTGGGTGTTAGGATATAAGAGATAAGGATTTCATAGATTGCCCCTGTGGAGCTACTCACCAAGACTTTGGCAAAGCGACGATCCAGCTCATCCGTGGTGGGCATGGGCTGCTGGCTGCGACTGCGCACGCTCGGCTGCCTCACATGATGATACTGGGAGCTGGAGCCAATGTCGTAGCGCAGATCCTGTTTCTGGAGCGTCGCACTGTGATGGCCATTGCGCTGCATGGAGTTCGTGTTCTGGTGCTGATGCTGGTGCAAGGGCGGCAGCTGCTGACGTTGATCCTCCTGTCGGTCCACGTCGGCGCTGGTGATGGGCCGAGATTTGACTGCGCCCATTATGGTTGCAAAGCGGCCACTGCCCGCCGATGCAGCGCCAGTTGTTGCTGTTGTTATTGTGCTGCACCAGCCGCCGCCACCGCCACCGCCGCCTCCGCCTGCCCCACCGCCTCCACCGCCACCGTCGTCGCGGGCGTCGCCGGCCTCGATGCTCGCCGCAGTTAGCGCTGTGCTAAGGGACGTGGACACCGCGCCCCATACAGTGCGACAGAATGCACGGGTGCGTTCGGGGCAACTTGAGAGTTGCTCTTTGATGCCGCTGAAGATATCCAAAGCGATGTTGCTGCTTTGCCTGCGCTCGCCCTGCAGCCAGTGAATTTATTATTGTCTATATATTGTAAATCAACCGAAAGAAATTTATACTCTGGTTTTAGTTTTTTGTTGTTTCTTTTTAGTGTATCTGTTTGTTTTTGTTGTTTTGCGACGTTTCTGTTGTTTTAGTTGTTGTTGCTGCTGCTTCTGTTGTTGTTGTTGTTGTTGTTGTTTTCGTATTGAACTAAAGGCGAAAAAGTTGCTGTGTTAATTTTTTTCTTTCTTTCTCTTTTATTTGCAATGCAAGCACTTTTAACTGCAATATTAATTATATATATTTTTATGTTTTACACTCACACATACACACATAGGCACACACACAAGCATATACACGCCCTAAAAGAATTTTGTTGGAAGCACAAATAATGACACCAAAGTGAGTAATGTGCTTGTTGTTGTTGTTGTTGCTGCTGATGCGGCGGCTGCTGCTGTTGCTTCTTCTTCTTTATATGCAACTGAACAAACATATACACACGCCAACACACACTCACACATATGCATTCAACACGAGCTCACATACAATCATACACACTCCACACTCCATAGTGCACTCACACACATACACATGCACACTCCACACTCACACACACAGGGGCACAGACAAAGCGCAGATTTCAATAGAACGCTCCTGTAGGCGTGTTTAACTTTATGGCCTTGCTTTTAATTTGTACTCTAACCGGTCGTTCGTTCGCAACTTGAATTAAAAGCGCTTTCAATTTGAAATTTAAAATTTAATGTTGCATTTCAATTACTTAGGGTTTTGTACGCGAAATTCCACTGCAACTGTTTAAATGCAATTTACATGCGACGGCGCGACCAGAACGACTCGCAACTTCGCTTGTCGAGTTTTCGAACGAGACTGTTAGTGTGACCGACGTTTTGGCAGCATTGAAATACCGAATGTTGTGCTGTACAAAATATACTAGCCTGCACGCTCTCCACTGTAGTGTCTATGTTCACATTATTTTTAAAACAAATTTATGACATGCTAAACAAACAAACAACAAATAAATTTTTGATCTAATACTGAAAGCTAACTACTTCTCCATTTTCAACATTTTTTATTTGAAAATTGTTATCCATTATCAGCAAGTCATAGATAACTCGATAAGTTAATCGGTGTGCACCAGCCCTGGAACGAAATCTAGTGAATTGTTTACAAACTCTTTTTATTGGTTTAATAATGGGAACACCCCGAAAAGGATTTAATTACTACGCGCCCTACTCTCAGAATGTGCGACAATACCCATCTCAGAACACGGAGTACATGTCCCAGCATAACGGTGGCCAGCAAACGCCACAGAGACCCAATCCAAGCACGCCACATTTCTACCAGAATCGAACGCCGCAACAACAAAATGTTGGCTTCTACGAGGACAGACAAGGCTCTTCAAGTGCAAATACGCCTCACTTCTACCAGATTAAAACACCTCACCAGCAATACGGAACCCCGCGGAATTTTTGTCATCGCGGCAGGGGCGGCGGTGATAGGCGCGGGCAGCACCAAAACAAAAAAAGATTTAGCGACAGGGGAAATGCTTCTCAATACTTCCACAGTTCCATGTTGGAGGACCCGTGGCGGGAGCTGATGGAGCGCCACAATGCAATACACGGTAGTGTCTTAAGTGACCCACAGACGGACAGTATAGGATCGGATGAAGAGTTTGAGCTCAAAACTTAATATATTTATTTACATTGTAATATTAAAATCCAATGACAATGACCTAATGATAGTTGATTCGTTTACTCTGCTACTGTCGTCATTTCTACTGGCGCCGCTCCAGATACTTCTCCCAGTCGGCGGCAATTCGATTGTAGATGCCCATGGCGGCGCGTGCATCCTCCACAGAGTTGTGCTCGCCCGTCTGTATCTCCTGGCCGAGCACGGCCATGGTCAGGCGCTTCAGGCTAGGTGTGTGGCCGTTGGAGACGAGCTTGCAGAGCGGCTTGTAGCGCGAGGTGTCGCGGATATGGGCCACGGGATGTTTGATGTTCAGCACGGCGAGATCGTTGCGCAGGGCATGGCCGACGAGTATTTTTCCATGCAGCAGCTTGACCACCTCATCCTGCACAGCCTCGAATTCCTCGCCATTCTCGATGTCGTGCGGGCGTATGCCCGAGACGGCGGTCCTGTAATCTGTAACTGGCGCGCGGGGCTTTACGTGCTTGTCCAGCAGCACTTCACCCACCTTGTTTACAATGGAGACACGTGCCAGCATGTCGTCCTGGCCATTGAATCCCACACCGACCATCTCGCAGTCCATGGCCAAGTACCGATTGCGCTGTGCCTTACGCTTAAGACGTGCACGCGCCGACTTGGACAAGGTGCCGTTGGAATCCTCTCCGCTCATATTTGCTGCTGGCTGCTTTTGATTCTCGCTGCCGACGGCTGCTGCTGCCTGCCAATTGGAGCCCGCGGCGCGTCTATTGATATTTGGCTGTTGTACTTGCAGACGCTCCATCGAGACCTGCAGCTTACGTTGTCCGGGCGAATTCGAATTCGAGTTTGTGTTCATTGTTATTTTGTTTTCATTTGCTGTTGCGTTGGTACCGCGGTTCAAGTCGAACTGCTTCTGACGTTGTGCTGAAGACATCGAGGCGAAGACGGAACTTTTACATTACTTGCTAAGTGCGATGTTCGTTGAAGGTTTCGTCTTTCCTTGTAATTTCCAAAATTATATGGAATTTATCGCCCTTCTGCCAACAGCCGTAGTTCCCAAAAATGTGTTTTTGTCAATCAGTTGCTCGGCCGATAGCAACTTATCGAACGACAGCGTTACCTCTACGAACTTATCGAATGATTCAGCAGCTGTTCCGTTAGTTTCAAATTAATTACACAATATATACCGAATTGTTTATAAAATAAACATTTKTTATATAATATAATATTAAATTTATTTATGAAGTTATTTGAAAAAGCCGCTGCTCGTATTTGTTCACAAAAATATTTTGTTTTAGGCGCTTTGAACTAACACTGTAAGCAAATGTTAAACTGTTATCGCTGTATGTCAGCTGTTGCAATTGCAAAAAAAAAAAGTAGAAATAAAACAGAGGAGGAATCAACAATACAGAAATGTGCTGAAAACTGAAAAAACAAAGGAAAATCTCAAAAAGAACCTGAATTTAGTTCGTAATAAGTAAATTAGTGCGCTCTGCTTGCGAGACTCAAGTTTTAATTGATAATAACGCAATAATTCGAAAATGTTGTAACCATGCAGTAGTCCAATAGCTGCACGCACGTTGTGCGGCTTGTGGTGGAAATTGTTGGAGTTAAAGTGCAACGTTAGGCGAAAAGTTCAGTTCGAGTTCACTATTCATAACATGTCCGCTGACCCCACAGGCAGTTCGATGCAGAGCTTTCACACGCGCTGCGGCCGCTCCATAACGCTCGGCAATGGCAATCGTTCAGCGCAGCGCTCCATGCGAAATTTCAGCCATGCGCTCGTGTTCAGCGCCGAGCCGCTGGTCGATGATGTGCTCTTCGAAGTGGTCATCGAAAAGAAGGTGAGTTGGGAAATTAACTATTAAATACTATATGTCCTAATCTATGTTTGTGTGCTTTGCAGAATCACTCTTGGGGCGGGAGCATTGAGATTGGCGTCACATCGGAATCGCCCGAGGATCTGGAACTGGTTGCTTGCGCGACGGCTATGCGCAATGGAACCTGGGTCATGTCCGGCATCGACGTGCGCAAGGATGGGCGCCGCCTGCTCGAGTACTACGGCACGGATCTGGAGACACTCAATGAAAATGATCGCGTTGGGGTCATGCGCACCTCCAACAACGATCTCGTCTTCTACGTCAACGGTGAGTCGCAGGGCGTGGCCGCCAAGAACATGCCCAAGCCGCTCTGGGCTCTAGTTGATCTCTACGGACGCTGTGTGCAGGTGTCCATCTGCCCCACAGACGTGAGCGCCATCCACAACACCAGCAGCGAGGTAACTGAAATACCTTTGTCTCATATTAAATAAATGCCAAAAGGGATCTATTCTTTCAGCAGCTGCTGGACTCGCCCTTGCAGCAGCCGCTACAGCAGGTCATCCAGAATTTGGATGTGCCCATGAGCGTGGATGTGAGCGTCGTGGACAGCGGGAATATTGATGCACTGGCCCGACTTAATCTCAACGGCAATGCCAGCTGCAGCTCCAGCAGCGGCATTGGCGACTTCTACGATGTCAACGATCGCTTGCGTTTCCATACACGTTGCGGTTCTCTGGTCAAGTTGCTGCCCAATTTTCGCTCAGCTGAGCGCCGTCGTCCGCTGGACGAGTTCAACAATGGCGTCGTCATGACGCATCGTCCGCTGCGCGACAACGAGCTCTTTGAGATTCGCATAGACAAGCTGGTGGACAAGTGGTCGGGCTCGATTGAGGTGGGCGTCACCACGCACAATCCCACAGTTCTCCACTTCCCGGCCACAATGACGAACATGCGCAGCGGCACCATCATGATGTCCGGGTGCGGCATCCTGACCAATGGCAAGGGCACGCGCCGGCAGTACGGCGAATTCAATTTGGATGAGCTACGCGAGGGCGACCGAGTGGGCATGATGAGGAAGTCGAATGGCAACCTCCACTACTACATCAACGGCCAGGATCAGGGCATAGCAGCGACGCGGGTAGCCGCCACACTGTGGGGCGTCATCGATCTGTACGGCATGACCATCAAGGTGACCATCGTGGATCGTGACGAGCGCGAGCAGCAGAACTTGGTCACCAGAAGAAACAACATTGTCGCTGGCATGGCTCTGGCCTGCAGCCATGGCCAGTCTGGGACGCCTACGCTCAGTCTGCTGAGTCCGGAGAGCGAGATGAACGTGGCCGGCGCGGCTGGCGGCCTGAGCGAAACCATCTCCAGCACGCGCGCCATTGCACGCAACGATGATCGCCTCACGTTCCATCACATTTGCGGCAGCCATGCCACGGTCACGCAGAGCGGACGCACAGCGCTCCGGCCCAAGTAAGAGCACTACTCCAGCTGCATCAAAAAATAGTTTCTAATTAAATTTAATACATGTTTTAGCGCTGCCGATGACTTTAATAACGGCGTCGTGCTCACGCGTCGTCCGCTGCGGCCCAACGAACTGTTTCAAGTGCGACTCGAACGTGTCGTCACCAAGTGGGCGGGCTCTGTGGAAATGGGCGTGACCACGCACTCAGCCGACGAGCTGGACTTTCCCTTCACCATGACTAACGTGCGGTAGGTGCGCTTTTAACTGGTTTGAATCCAGCTTTAGCATCTGGTTTTTGCAGCTCTGGCACTTGGATGATGACTGGCAACGGTGTCATGCAGAACGGTGTTACGGTGATCGAGCAGTATGGCCAGAACCTGGATCGTCTGCAGGTGGGCGATCGCGTGGGTGTCGTGCGCAAGGACGACGGCACTCTGCACTTTTGGGTGAACGGCGTCGATCAGGGACCGGCAGCGACGAATGTGCCGGAGCGAGTGTACGGCGTGATCGATCTGTATGGCCAGGCGGCACAGGCCAGCATCATTGACACCTCGGAGTGCGGCAGCCCGGACACGGGCAACTCCACCATTTCCAATACGACGCTGTACAGCGAGGTGCCGCTGCGGTTCCACAGCATTCATGGCGCCAACGCTGGCATCTCAAATAGCGGTCTGACTGCATCGCGTCCCAATTCCTTGGCCGAGTTCAATGATGCCATTGTGTTTAGCAATCGGCCGTTGCGCAATCGGGAACTATTCGAGGTCGAGCTGGAGACGATGGTGCGCCATTGGTCCGGCAACATTGAGATCGGCGTGACGGGCACACGGCCGGAGGATATCCAGCTGGCACCAAATGCCACCGATTTGGAGGCCAATGATACCATCATTCTGTGCGGTCCCATGATCTTCCATAATCGCAAGACCATACGCACCAATGTACTCATCGATTTGGACACGCTCGGCACAGGCGCACGGGTGGGCGTCATGCGGAACGGCGACTACATTCACTTCTTTGTCGACGGCATGGACCAGGGTCCGGCTGGGGAATGCCACGCGCCCAACATTTGGGCCATCATTGATCTCTATGGGCAGTGCGCGCAGGTTAGCCTGACCCAGACACAGCTGGACATTCGCGCTCCGTATGCCACCAGCGAAAACTCGCAGAGCTGCCAGGCGACGTCCGTCATACAACATCCGGCGCTGGAGACCAAGCACCGCTGGACATTCGTCTCGGGCAACGTGGCGCTGACCAAGGACTGGACAGAGGCATCTCGATACACTGGGTCCACGGCAGCCCTCTCGCACAGCCTGGTCTTCTCCGAGCATCCCCTGAGTGGGGGCTCGCCCTTCGAAATAAAGCTGACGTCGATAAATCCCATGTTTGCCGGTAGGTTAGCAAAATTTTTCGTGAATCTTAACACTGAAATCAAATCCTGTTGCAGGCTGCCTCAGCATTGGCATCACAGATCTCAACTTGGCGGATGAAAGCGTGCGGAAGAAGCTGCCCACGAGCCTCAAGCGAATCCCGGCAAATGTCTGGTACGTGAGCGGCAATGAGGTGCGCTTCAACTCCAGCTGCTTGCAGCGATCGCTTGCCTCGCTGGAGTGGCTGCGGGTGGATGATCGCATCACACTGGAGCGCGTCGAGAACTCGGTGAACATTCTGCTGAACTCCGAGAACGTCAACATTCAGTTTCACAATGTGCCCAACAATGTGTATGTGGTGGCCGAGTTGCGCGGCTCGACGATGGCCGTGCAGGTGATCTCCACGCAGGTTCCCGCATCCCCGTTACGTCCATGCAGTCTGCGCCTACAGGACTCCATGGACTTTGGCATGGATCCACTGAACAAGCAGGACAGCTCAATGCTGGAGTCGATCGATTCAGAGGCGCAAAATTATGAGTTTGTCGACATATCGAACAAGCATACGCGCCTCTCCGACGATCGACGCAGTGCATCGAGAAGCAAGTCGTTTAACCAGGCCATCGTGTATCTCAACAAACCCTTATGCAAGGGCGAGAGCATCAGCATCAAAGTGGACGCCATTAACAACAAGTGGAAGGGCACCCTGAGCTTGGGTGTGATGGCAGCCTGCCCCCAGGCACTGGCCGTGCCCATATCGTTGCTCAACTGCAAGCGCAGCTGCTGGCTGGCCACGCACGACTACATCAACATCAATGGCCAGGTCATGGCCTCCAAGTATGGTGAGGCGCTCGACAGCATACAGGTGGGCACGGTGATTACTCTCTCGCTCACCCACGCCGGCTTGTTAAGTAAGTATGGAGATGTCTATAATTGTATGAGTAGGATTGATAAACGATTTGCTTTGCAGTCATTATGGTGGGCTCCACGAACTTAGAGGACCTGGCCAGTGGCCTGCCCGGTCATGTGTACCCCATCTTTGACATATATGGCAAGTGCGAGAAGATCACTTTGCTAACGGGCAACGATGCCACGCGCACTGGCAACGCCAACGGCACGCCCATCTTGGAGGCACCTGAGGCGCTGGAGCTGGACAATATGCCGCAGCAGTGCGAGAAGGCGCACTTGGAAATGCACGAAAAGGAGAAGGATACGGAGCAGCTGAGCGACAGCGCCAGAGAATTGCCCACAGGTGCCTCTACGTCCGCCTCAGCCAATGTCATGTAAGAAGCAGCACAGATTAAAGCAACTTGATCTAAAGCTTTAAGTCTACTATTCCTTACCAACAGGACCCGTTCGGTGATGGAGAGCGTCTCAGAGAATCTGTTGCTAAATATTTCCATAAAGAATCGCACGCTTGAACAGCAGCGCAATGAGCTGGGTGGGTCATCCTCCACTTGGTAAGTGCATCCCATATTTATATTCTTTCAAGATGGTAATTCAATTACCTTTTTAGCTGCTTGCGCGAGTCCTTGCAGCTGCAGCACAACACAAATCTGAATATACAGCGTAGCCAGAGCACCCAACGGTTTCAGAACTCGCTGAACACCTCAACAGGTGGTGGTGGCGGCGGTGTTGCGAGTGGCTCAAATGCATCGGGCCAGTTACATGGCTCGAACGCAGTCTATGACACCAACAAGGAGTACGACGAGCAAGTCCTGTGCTCCAGTGCGGCTGCACCAGCCATGGACGCCTCGCACGAGTCGGAGCACAGTGAGAACAACGTCGAGGCAGTTGCGGAGGCGGCCAATGAACGTGAATTGTCCAGCGAGCCGGATAATGTGCTGGAGGATGATGAGATTGATTATATGAATCACTTGCTGCTGCTGCAGCAGCTGCAACAGAACGAATACACGCGCATGCAACATCATTTGATACCGGACCAAATGTCCTTACTTAATTTGGATCTCTCCTCGCTCAACTCCTTGGAGTCGGAAACCAATTCCAGTGGCAATGCTAGAGACTCGTTGCGTAGTGCCGCGGCAGCCATGGAGCAAAACGATTGCGAATATCTGAAGCAGGTGAAACGCTTCTGTGCCTCCCTCGTGCTGCCGCAGGCCTTTTTCGACGTTCGCCTCGATCCGATCTGCTTCTGCTCGAAGTGCAACGGCAACAGCAACGGCAACGGAGACAAGCTGGAGGGCTGGGTGTACTTCAAGCTGAATCAGCAAACCGTCAATGCGCTTAGTACGTCCACGTCGTCCGCGGCCGGCTCTCTGGCGGCACAAGTGCACTTGGATCTGAATGGCGACTGGCTGCCCTTCTACTATATGACACGCGTGGATAAGATTCGCGCCATTTTGGATCGAGGGCAGCCGCTGCCGCTGGAAATGGACGAGGATACGGTGGCAGCCACGCACAAAGATGAGCCAGGCACGCGTCTGGAACTCTACTACTCGCCCAATGCTACAGTGATTGAGCCGGTGCTGCCACAGCATCATTATGTCTCCGACCAGGGCGTCCATCGCATTTCCACCTCGTTTGAGGTGTACGTGCGACGTCAGTCCATCTCCGGCGTGACCACGGGCAAGACGGCTACCGAGGCCAAGCGACGCAGCATGCATTCGGCCGACAACGAGGCAGCGCATGAAGGTGGATCGGGCGCGGGCGGCGCTGCTGGCGGTGCCGGCAGCAGTTCGAGCACTCTAAACGAGTCCTCTGTGCACCTGCTCAACGACCTGTGCTGGTTTACGAAGGAGGCGGGCGCCTGCATCATAAACGCTTTAATTATTAAATTGGATCGCACCGAGGAGCCTTCAAGCGAACCCTAAGCAAAGCATCTATGGATACTGATATTTATACACTAGTCACCAGCTCGCAGCCAAACTTCCTATTTATTTCATCTTCACACACGCTAGCTATCCACGCATTCGCCTTCGCATTAGCATTCCCCGTTTATAAGCAAGTTTTGTAATGTAAGCGAATAGAATTTCCAAATATACTCACAATGTTACACCTAATGTCCACTCTTGCGTATATTTTACTATATTTAAGTGCTATTCGAATTTCGAATCATTTAAGCGAACAACAAATTTTCTTGAATGCATAAGAGTTGCGTATTTATTAAATAGTTACAATTTTAGTTATAAAATTCTTTTGAAATGCACTTTACACTTTTGGCTCTGTTCTATTTGATTTTATGTCTGCTATCTGCGCTACTTTGTTTTTGAGACTATCAAGTTTCAGACCTACGTCTACTACTAAATCGTCATTCGACTTGATCTTCGCCTCGTATTCGATCTCCTTCTCTTTCATGAGCTCCAGATTAGCTTGCAATTCGGCTACCTTCATTTCGAGTTCCTTGATCTGATTGTCTTGGTTGCGGATTGTTATCGCACTTTCCTCTGCTGCCTTTTTAGCCTTGTCTCCACTCTGCGATAAGGTCCTTAGAAGGGTATAGCAAAAGGAACCGCACTGCTGTTCCAAAGCTGCTGAGCTCTCACTTAGCTGCATTTGAAAGTTTCCAATCAGATATCTCTCGAGTAACTCGATTTCAAGCCACTCACCAAATCATCTTTGGCTGATGCACCTGCTAGAAATGCGATCAGGAAAATTACTACGAATTGCATACTCTGCTATATTTTTAAATAAAAAGTCCCACTAATGTGCTTGCAATATGTTTAACGATCAGAACTGAACTGAACTGAATATCATTGTGAGGCTACAGTAATAAATATGTATATTTGCAATGATTCTATAGGCATATGTAGTATATATAAAATGCTATCATTAATTATGTGACCTTTCAACCTATTTCAATTCGGAGAATAGTGTTATATATTATGCAAATCAACAAAAGACGCTAGTAGTCGTAAATTATATGTAGTAAAGAAAGGGTGTAAGTGTTCAAGTGACATATATTAAATATATTATATTGTATATGTTTTATATTAAATAACATATAAATATATTATATCATATATGTATCATATCGAATAACATATATTATATATTATATTAAGTAACATATTTCGAGTTCGAACAAAAACCAATTAAGGGCTTTTTGGAATCATCATTACGGTTTTATTTGATTATTTTGAATTCCATTCATTTACTGTCGGTTTTTGTTGTTATTCAACTATATGCAAAAATGGTCGATTAGAAAATGTTTGTAATAAGTTGTTGCATCCATCCGTACAGCAGCTCTGTCTGTCCGTCAGTTCTACGTCTACTTCCGATTCCACTGCCATATCTTCGTCTGCTGCACTTGATCAAATCGTTTGTTTTATTTATACGCTTACACATTTAGGGTTTGTTTACAGTTTGCCAGTTTGCTGATTCTGATGCGTCAGGAAAGCAAAAGTGCATATACAATTTTTACTGTTGTTTCATGTTGGTTTATAGACGTAAAGTTAAGTTTTGTGTTGTTGTTTTTATCGTTAGCCAATACCATATATATTTGATTTGTTTCTATACTCGTTTCTTTTATTAAATATATCAATAACCGCCGACGACGTACGACGCATAGTTCATTCAACGTCCATGGCAGCATCGCTGGGTGAGTTGCTGCCTACGTTCTGCCCATTGTTGTCCACATCCATTTTGTCACCGCCGGCAGTTGGCTCGCCGCCATTCTGTTCCGCAGCATCCTTTGGCGGTGGCGTTGTCTTGGCAGCTGGCTTCGGTTTCGCGCGGTTAATGACAGAGTTGACGCAGCTAGTCAAGGAATTCACCTCATGGCGCACTGCCTGCAGGGTAACAGGACTGTCGACTGTGCGTGGCGATTGCGTGAATTTTGACAGATTGGTTTCCAGCCACTTTTGCGCCTTGTCCGCAGATTCGGCAATGTTGATAAACTCGGTCTCCGTCAAATGATCGTACTTGGGCACACCCTTGCGGAACTCGGCCACTGCCTGACGGGCTACAGCAATGCAGTTCTTCAGCTCCTCGAAAGCAGCCGGGCACTGCTCGTAGTCGTGGGCGCGCTGCTTGATCGGATCGGTTTTCTGCAACAGCGCCGTCAGGCGACTGGTATAAGTCTCACGGTCGCAATCCTCGCCATCCTCATATAACCAGTTCTCGAGATCATTTAGCTGCGCTACAATCGACTCGCGATCGGACTCAACCACATACCGCTCAAGAGGTCCACCCTGCAAATGTGACAATTTTATTGTTATTGACCTAGGCTTGACTGAAGTTTACCAGACTCTTACGTGTAGTTTGTTGCGCATATCGTAGACGAACTCCTCCAATGCGTTTTTGGCGTCAATGCGCTCCGTCTCCTTTTGATCGTTGCCAATCATCTTAGCCTCCTGCTGTGCATAGCCGCTCAAGACAGCTGGCTCGAAGCCATGAGTGATGGGCTCCATTGGCAGCTCGATGTCCTTTTTGGTCTTCTTTTTTGTTTTGTCATTGCCCTGTGCGTGAAATAGAATACAGAAGGCAGAAACCATAGATTAGAACAATTGCTCCATCGACTCGATCAAATTATACGTTTCTCATAGCCAATAGAAAGAGGAAATACTTCGAAGCGGAACAACAACAAAGCGAAGAGGAAAAACAGCTCAAGTAACAGCCTACAATATGAGCAAAAGATTGTGATTCGTGTCTTAAATATGTAAATAGAAGTTCGAGTAGCATTCATTGGATTGGAGGCGCATTGTAGAACGTGTATTTTTGTTTTGTTTATCTTTTTTGCTTACTTTGTTTAAATCATAATAATTAAATGTATATATTTGAATAAATAAATAAAAAGAATTCAAGCATATATTGGGCGAATTGTTTAAGCAATTCAATAATTATTTTGATTGTATATTTATTTTGTTTTGCAATATTATGTAGGAGCACACAGGGTAGGCGGCTTATGAGCGGTCTTCATCATTCGTTTTACTATCGGTTGTTGGGTGGGAAAAGAAAGCGCAAAATGTTGTGCTTGATATTTTCTCATACGACATTTCCAATTTCGTGATATTTTCTCATTTTTGGTTTTTATTAGAAATTATATTTGTATTAAGATTTTTATTTGCTTTAAATTTGAAAACGTACCGAACCAAACCAGCCCTTGACCCGTTGTGCCCACCCTTGTCCGCCAGGTGATGAGGCTGTTGATGTATTAATATCATCCTCATTCTCAAAATATGCCTATATGAGAGAGCAAAACGCGAGCGCACAATATCCAATATTTTGGGTGATAGTTGTAATAATTGTATGTATATGTAGTATATATAAATATCTCGTACAAAAGCAATGTACAATACAACATAATTAAACAGCAAGAGGAACATCAACTACGGCACTAGTAGATTGGGAATGAAACCAAGACGCAAACATGAAGCAACCAAAATATAATCACAGACTCGCAATACTGAAGAGCTTTTCGATATATATAGAATTACTAAAGAAACTGAATGGAACTAAATATTTCGCTGAAGTGAGATAAAGTGAAACACAAACATGCGAAAATAAAATATATTAGTATACGCCCCTATAAACGTTGATGTTTTGTGTTAAAATTGATAGCTAGATAGATATTTTTACATAAGTTCATTTAAAGTACTAAATGAAAAGGATTTATAGTCGAAAAGGACTTATTAATTATGTTTGCCTCCCATATTTAGGGTCTTAGGTTTCATTTCCTATCTAAGTGAAAGAAGTCAGCAAGAGCATCAAATAAAGAAGATTCGAGTTACTTAGAAGTGAGCAAATGATAAGAATCGATTCAGTTGATGACTGGTGAAGTTGTTAGAAGGAAGATCACTCGAAGGGGTTAGAAAACTGCGGAAGGGAGAGAGCGCCTACTCAACAACAGATGATATAATTTGTATGAATCTGATGATGATGACGATACTACATAATCGATTAAGGGCTGTTTGGATTGACTAACCTCAGGTTGGGCTTCCGCTTGCTCGCCAGCATTGGGTCCAGCTTGCTCTCCTCCGGCAGCCTTCTCGTCGGTAGCCATTTCGTTTGCGGCGGCAGTCTCTTCCTGCTCCTTTCGGTCAACGAGCACGGCCGACGAAATCAAGACAATTCCGTTTAGATTAATGCGAACCTTCAGCTTGACATCCTGACTCTCGCCACGCTCTGTTGGCTTGACGTCCTTGATTTTCCAGGTGCCGATAGTTTGATCCGGATACGGCACCGGTTGGCCGTACACAATGGACGCAACGAACGGACTCTTGCGAGCTATGGTCACCAGACGACTGAATGGTGACGGATGGAATTGCGGAAAGATTTCAACTTCGCCACTCGATGATGTGCCATCACCTTCCCAGAGCACTTTCACGGCATAATTCTGTATGTCAGTTACCCCGAATTCGCGCACGCGCACAGCCGGCGACATGATGGCGCATTGCAGAGCAGCTCCGCGCGAGACTGCCTCATCCTGATTAAGTGTGGTACTGGCCGGTTTGTTGAACACCTACAAAATACAGAACACCTTAGAAACATACCAAAAGCTTACAGCCATGTGTGACTCACCTGCTCAATGAGTTGCTTGACAGCCGGTATGCGAGTGCTGCCGCCCACAATCTCCACAGAGTGTATATCGTCCAGAGACAGCTTTGATTCGACCAAAAGTTTTTTGAAGGTCTGCTCGACTCGCTGTAGAATTGGAGCGCACAACTCTTCCATTTGGGAACGCTGCATGGACGAGCTAACATCGATGTCGTCCAAGAAGCATTCAATATTCAGAGGCAGTTTGGTGCTGTTGGCGGACATTTGCTTCTTCAACTTTTCGATTTCGGCCAGCAAACGCACATTGGCGCGAGCATTGCTCTTGGCATTGATCTTATAGCGCTCGAGGAACTCCTTGGTAAAGTGTTCAGCTAGTGCCAAGTCGATATCGCGCCCACCAATCTGATCCCAGCTGCTGGCCAACATCTTCAGCTTGCCCTTGGTGAACACACACGCGCTGACCTGCAGCGCCGAGTGGCCGAAGTCAACGAAGATAACGTTACGCGGCTTGTCCTCGAACAGTTCGTTCTTGTAGAAGCCATAGGCCAGAGCCGTGGCCGTTGTCTCGTTCATCAGGCGCAGCACATTAAGTCCGGCGATTTGTGCGGCATCGAGCAGCGCCTGACGCTCGGCGTTGGTGAAGAATATGGGACAGGTGATGACACAGTCATTCACCTGCGTTTGCATGGCGGCCGCCGAAGTTTCTTTCAGTTTCGTGAACAGCATGGCCGTCAGCTGCTCCGGTGAGAAATGCTGATCCTCGTTCAAATAGTTGACTTTGATGCCAATGCTGCCATCACTGCGCGGCTCCACGCGCGCTGGAATGCTCTTGAGTTCATGCTGTACATGCGGATCGTTGAATTTGCGGCCAAGCAAACGCTTAAAGCCGCCAACTGTGTTTTTCATGTTTGTCACCTGCTGGTTCTTGGCGGCAACGCCAATGATGCGCTTCTTGCCATCAAATGCCACAAATGAGCTGAAGAAACGTAAAAGTTAAATTAGTGGAATAATAAAACGAATTATTATACACTATTTTTGAAACTTGTTAATAAGTGTGACTGAGATATTTTGCCTGCAACCAAGCAACGCCTAAGAGTAAAAATTTATTTGGTGCATTCAAGCATAAATATGTAAATTTATCTTTGTATACCTTATGAGTTTCAATATTGAAGCTATATAAATGTACAGGGTATACAAATGTTCTAGCAACGCGTCAAATATGGTCGTGTTGCCACAACAAAGTTAATTAAATCAGCACACACACATACGTGCACACATAGCCGTATATGTAGAAACGCGTTGCCATAGTATGCACACGTATGTGCGCGATCGCGTTTTGCCGGCTTTGATTTTATTTTTGACAACTTTGGTGTGAACGCATAGGCTCGCTGTTCTCTCGCACTCTTTTTCCGCCCATTTTCTTCACGGCAACAGCTGCTGCTGCTTCTGCTTCTGCTGCGGCCGCCTTGCGCTCTCGCTGCTTTGATGCTGCTATTGACCGGACCGACCGCATGACGCATGCGATGATTTTCGTCCGCCTGTGCGCATATATGTGTATGTGTATGTGTGCGTGTGTATATAGATTGGCCAAATAAAAATGATATTGGCAAAAGTAAAAATGCTCCCACGCATTCAACATTTATAAATCTAGAATCTGAGTCAAATACTGCGGCGAAGCCCCATCTCAAATGGAGCAACACGACGCAGTGTAACATTTTGATGTGGCCTCTCATTAATTTGCAATGCTTTTTATGGGGAGCAGCCAGAGCCAAATTTAGGCACAATTGTATACATATGGAGCGCTGCATGCACATATTACATGTTACCTGTATATATTTTATGAAAATAATTCTCTTTTAAAAGCGTTACCAGTGACAACAATGGAAATTTCTAGGCGCGCACCCAGCCAAACATTTGCACACACACACACACATGCGTATGTACGCGCGTACACATACACAAGGTATCGGGCATGACTTACATTTATACATAACCTCAATGGGAAAAAGAGCAAGCGATTATGTACAGCGGATATTGAGAGCTTTCGTTAATTGATATCCCAATAGCAGCAATAATCATAATCATGTGCTACTTTTCACCTCTCTTTTCTTTTGTACTTTTTCCTTTTGGTACTTACGGTGTTGCACGCAGACTGTAGTCATTGGCAAGAGTCTCTATGCCGCCGGATCTGGCAGCCGCTACATAGCAGCCCTCGTTACCGAAATCGATGCCAATCACAGACATTTTTCTTTACTTTCGGCTGCCGAYTCGATTGATTGATTTAGTTAAACTAGTTAAAGTATTTAGACTTTTTTGCCTAGATTCCTTTTCCGATTTTTTATTTTTTATATTAATAGGGCGACTGTTTCTCTGTTTTATTCTCAGCAACTGTAAGAGAGAAAATAATATTAGCTCAAATATTTTCAATGTATATATAGAAACACAGTCGTCAATTTTATAATAATTGACAGATGAGTCCAAAATTATTTAGATTTGTGCATATTCCATCAATTATGAATTTGCCTTTGCGCTGTTGGTTTGCATGAGAAAAAATATTCACATAGACGCCCACGGAATGTTTTAAACAATCTAAGCGATTTTTCTATTGACATTATCTGTGATGATATATTTACGCACATATTTGCAGATTTCTTTTATATGTAGACGATTTATACTTATTTTAACAATGTATAAACGCTCACAACTTTTTTGTACCGCGACCGACACGTTTTTTCAGCGTAATGAAAATTGTAGCGGCGACGTCGACGTCGACAGAGAATGGTCACGAAACTTCTCGAATTAGTAGTATCGATCTATCGATTCATCGATAGTCGCGAACACTTTTATCGCACTAATTCGACTTCCCCGTTTATGCGCGCCTAACGAAAACAGGAATTGTATACGAAATGTTCTATACCCTGTTAACCAAGGTATACAAATATTATGTAGTTTTTGTCTATGCTTGAAAAAGGACTGAAGGAAATCTCAAACGATATTGATTAGATTTCAACAGAAATTTGTATTATACACGTATTTATGAATACATTGTCATTTTAGCCTAAAACCAAGTGCGCAAAACAAATTGTAAGTAGGAATGGTTCATATCGATATAATACCGAAAAAAATAATAATACGACGACAAACTAATAAACTTAGACTAGGTTGCATTGCTATGCACTTTAGGAATAATTTTGAACACATTAAATAATTAAGAGTGAGTGAGTGTATCCAGAGATTTGATGTACATAGATCTTAGCTTCAACAGCTAAATTTCAAGTTTTTGTTCTGTTATACGCAATCTCATCTTCTAGATATGTAGTACTAAGGCCGTGAGCCAACTCTATCGTTGTTCCGTTCCGCAATTCTTAAGGATTTGCCGGCGTCCGTAATTTTACTGAAGGTAACGCGTTTCTAAGGTCACTAAGGTGCTAAACATGCTGTCTATAAACAGCTTTCAACAGGGAATGTTCTTGAGATTGGGTTAGTTGCTTTGTCGAGGATTCAATTTGAGGGTTTGCTATGTTGAGTCTTTTCCATTTCGTGTAAATACTAAGCAGTCTTGCCGGTCCCAAACATGATCGTTGTCATCGTTATTGCTTCACATCTCATATTTCCTTTTTTTGCTTTATGTGTTTTTTGTAGTTCATTTGAGGGCCTCACAATTGGACCACTAGTCCGGAGGCAGATATATTATCTCCAGCTCCCGCTGTCTTTTTGGCCACTCGGCATATCAGCACTGGCGCCACGCATATCTCCACTTCGATTTTTTGCAGATCCGCGCCATACTGTATAAACTCCTGCCAGCAAGGCACAGGATTGGCTGCGCTGATGCGCATTCGAGGCGCTTGCTCTTGAGCTGATGTGGCGAAGCTGTCGTCCAAAACAAGAGTCACCGCCTCTGGATTGATCTGTAAATGACCAAGTTTCATGGTCAGAGAAAATGTTCAATACAAATCTTCAGCACTTACAAATTGGGATTTGCAGACGTAACGATGAGCCGTCAGTGCAGCCTTAGCGGCTGCAGCCCTTGTATTTTTCCACTTCGAGTTGGCTACGGTCAGGATGGCCTGGTAGGCCAGGGTGTGCACGTGCATTCTGGACAACATGCGCCTGTGCGGATCCGACTTGTGCCGCACATTGTAATCCTCCAGCAGATTGATGAAAACCTGACGCATTTGGTCCAGGGTGTTGGCAATGCGTGGATTCCAGTCGGTGGCCAGTGTGGTGCGTCCATTCTCCAGCACCTGTCGCAGATTGGACAACTCCTGTTCGTTCATGCCCAAGGAGTCCACATAGGGCAGCACATACTGCCGGAGCTGATGCAGCAGCTCCAGCTCTACGTAGCTGGCGAGCTCGAAATGTTGCAATGTGCCTGGCGGCTGGCTGGTCAGCTGGGATTGCACCTGGCGCAAGCGTGCCTCACGCACACCTGGACTGAACTTGAACATGTCCATCATTTGCAGACCGCTGACCACCAGCAGCTGCGGATTATATTTCTTTAGTGCGTCCGTCAGATGCTCCACCGCTCTCAAATGCGGATTGTTCTTATCGTTATGCAATATATAACGATTGGCACGTGGTGCCTCATATGGACCCCATTTATCACCGGCCTTATACTCCAGAATAAGATGTATATCATCATCAGGTATCTCATCACCAGCCAGACGAATCTCCTTGGGCAGCAAAGGTCGCAATCTGAAAACATATAATGTGGAATACTTCATGCTGAAGATGAATGCATGTTTGGGCACTTACTTCTTTGACATATGTGCGCCTAGAAGCACATCCGCTCCCTCTATGACAAAGCGCACTGCCATCAATGGGGCGTTGCCTCCCATATACCACTGAATGCGCTCTTTGTCCATTATTTTGGCATTGGTTATCAGTTGTTTGAACAGCGTGCTGTTGGATATGACGCGCCTATAAGGTTGATGTATTTAGTATTATGTCTCAAATTATATCTGATGGATGCACTTACTCAGCCGCGGCCCCGTTCTTGAAATAGTAAGCAAATGATTGAAGAAACTCATTTTCATTTTTCACATTCTTCGCCGCAAAGTCTGTGCTTAGCTCAGGCACCCGCATTTTGTAGAAGGTCTCCAGAAACTCGGTGGCATTTATTTGCAGATCCGTGCAGGCGCCATAGCCTACGGCTACCTTGGGTGCCGGTTCGTCGGTGGATTTCTTCACGCCGCCCTCGATGGCCAGGAGACCGGTGAGGAGTACGGTTGTTCTGTTCAGCGCCTGCAGGGTGAGAAACGCCTGCCAGATGATCGAGAGAAGCGCCGTGAACACCGAGCAACCGGTTATCCAGCCCATGTATCGCAGAGCGCCCATTGTCCGTGGGCAGTCAATAAGTGCTTTTGTCTGAGTTGTCTTTGTTGTTGTGTTTGTTCTTTGCACGCCGGCCTCAGCTTCGGCTTCGGCGTTTGTTTAAGATGTTACGTGAATTTGCTTATGTGGCTGCTGCGGAAGTTTCCTGCTCTATTGCGAGTCTTATCAAATCAAGTTTGCTATGAAGTGTTTTCGATTTGAGCTAGGTTTTTTAATAAAAGATAACGTCAAAACTCCCATTTGCCGACAGGCAAACTCGAGACTAAGGATATCGATATATCGATACGGCAAGCAGTGGTGTTCCATGTAGCTATCGTGTGAAGCACGAATGAAAGAAATCCAAAAGCTTTTGGTTTTGATTTGAAAGTTAAGCTTCGCTTTGTTGTAACGGATTTCTGGAAAATGACTAAACTATATCAATAACCATAGAACACATGTTATGATTAGGTTTTATGGTTAGTGATTATATAAAAGAAATAAAGGATTTTCAGTTTTTAACTTATTTTAGTAATCATAAAATGTAAATCTTTAATCATTTTAAAACATGAAAGTCAGATGGAGCCGACTAAGCAATATCCTGTAAAGCAATCTACCCTTTATTTTATTTTGATGCTAGTAAGTAAATTAAGAGCTTGGCTATATTAAGTTACGTCGGGTTTTCCGCCGATATAATTCCAGTTTTCTGGACATTCAAGAAACTTCTTTGCAGCTGGCAGAGTATTTCTCATGAATATATTAAATATTAACTTATTTCTATGTTTAAAAGAGCTTATTTAAGTATTCGATGGAAGAATAGTCATAACATTGAAAGTTTATATCTAAGACAATTGATAGCTGCGCTTCGATAAATGGCTTAAATGATTTTTATAGTACTTAACGACGTCAACTACTATTATCATCATCATTATCAACAGCATCAGCATCAACCAGGCTTCAAGATGTTGCCACACACAAGCATCGTCATGTCATTTAAGGCGGTTCCTTCTTGTTTTCTGGTGTTGTTCATTTAAAACAAGTTGTTGCTTCGATGTTGTTTTGCTTTAATTGCTTCGTGCCGTTATTTTATGTATTATTATATATTATTTTGCGACACAAGGTTATTCGATGGCAACACTGGATTGTTTGTCGAGGAAGTGGAAGGTGGATAGTGGATGGTGGAAGGTGGATGGTGGAAGGTGGACGGTGCTGGCCTGTGATGATATTATGTTCAATCTCTTGGGGTTGGGGCATCAGTTAGAAGCAACAAAATGATTGCAGTCGACAACTTAACCCCATCCAGACCTTTTTGACAAGTGTCGTTCCATGTGTTAGCACTTCACTGCGACATGGTCCAAAGGTTTACGCGATTAAGCAATGTTTATAGCGTTTCCATTGAGTGATAAAATCAACAAATGTCAATCGAAGAAGCTTTTAAACTAATGCTCATCTATCTGCCCGTCTCGCTCGCGAAATTTATGTCTATCTCTATAGAGTAGCTGGCGGAGCACGTACGACACATGTGGCCAGCTTTAATTACCAAGTAACTATTTCGAGACCAACTTTCAATTGGGAATGCCTCAGTAATCCAGCGTAACGCTGGATGAGTTGTTGCTCTCGTTTCCCTTAGCACGCCCCTTGCAGATTTTTAGTCTCGTCATGGCTACAAAGCCGCTTTACGTGCCTAGGCTCCGGCAGAGAACTATTTTTAACATCTCGACGAAAGTGAATTTCAGAATTTACGTTGTTTTTTTTTTTTCAGACGAAACTATAACCGGCTCAGCGCTTCAGCCACATTTCGTACGCCACTGTGAGTGTGTGAAAATCAGATAGCCAATTTTGATATAATGTATACCACGTAGCTGGGTTGTGAGAGGCAATTCCGTTCTGTTTTTATTTAAAAATATCAAAAATATTCTTCACAAAATTTACAATTTTTTAACGAGGAATTTCAGAAGGAAGTTTTTTCATGATATATACCAAGTAGTTTAATTGTGATCGGGTATGAAAGGCTCCAAAGATTCAATATGGTTAGTTTTTAAATATTAAAATTTATATACGTTATTATTATAAATTAAAAAATATTAAACCTATTGGGTTTTACAATTTAATTAATGAATTAATTTATCGAGGATTTTGCGTATGAAATTTTAGTAAATCAAAAATTATCAATCATTTATTATAACCAGTTATTTTCTAACATTTTGATTATTCATATTTTTTAAAGTGCAATTCTTCAATTATAATAGAAATTAAGTAGCTAATTATTTAATATAATTTTTTAAAATAATTTTACTATATTTCAATTAGACCCAGTTATGAAAATTTATAAACTTAATTTACAATTACTACTGCTCCAGGCAAAAATATTGAATTGGCTGAAATACATATATTTAGAGAATATTTATACATATTACATTATACATATTGGTCAACTGTGCACAGGGTATTCGCATGTCACGCAAGCTCGATTCTGAAAATTCGCACTTAATTTGTATTGTATTTTGTTCTTTTTACGTGTTTCGTATACAGCTACGATCTTTATATATGTTTTTCATTATTTTTTGTTGTATTTTATTTCGTATTTCGTTCTATGCGTACAACGCTGTCCGGCTCCACGGGCAATCCATATAAAATCAGCATATTCAGAAATTCTACCGGGCAGTCGATTCTATGCGGTCAACGGAGTTGGACGTGCTGCCTTCTTGGGGCCATAAATTCGCAATATCGAATTAAATCAGTTTTTATGTAATTGTGCAATTCTCTTGGTTGCAAGATTTACGCGAAGAGAAACAAAGAGTGAATAAAACTCAAGTTAATTTTCAATTTCAATTAAATTTAAGTGATTTAAAGGTATAAATATACTGTTATGTGGTTCTTTTATTCAAATGCTCACTAATTTAAACTAATTGAGTGTGGTTCGGCTGCATTTCCGTTTCTTATCTGATTCGTCGCGTTTGTGTTCCAAGTCTTTTGTTTGAGATATGCGCATAATGCGAAAAGGAAACAAAACAAAGTCTGCATGAATCTTGATCGCAACTGGATTTAGCACGCATATTCAGCTCGATCGCTCAAGACTTCCGCCTACCAACTTATAGAAAAAAAAAAATAGATTTACTTTATCGTTCTTTCGCGCTGCCGAAAGCGTGCCAAACGTCGGAACAGATCGAGCTGGTTGAGTGACAATTGTTGATTAGGCTTAATCTAAGCAAATTAAAAACATAAATAAAATGACAGTTAAAACTGATTAGTAATTTAAAAATAACTTGAAACTAAACATTCTGGCGCCTCAGGGTCAGCACCTAATGAACTTTACGCTTCTGTGGATAATTATCCCAGCTGCAGAGTATTTGGAGAATCTATTCTAAAGAAGCTGCTGAAGCGTCTTCTCAGTTATGCGGAACGTTTATTTCCATTATACTTTTTCTGATTTTGAGCTCACATTTGCATAATATTATCGGATGCCTTACTGCCGCATGCTAGAATCGGCCCAGACAAACCTGACTAAGCATAAATCTTCATTCCGACCGAAAGGCAAATCAAAACAAGCGACGAAAGGTGAACAAACTATCAAAGCGTCGACGGCTCTGTAACGCAATGTATACGCAGAACTGGTTCAGTGTCGAGGACGTCACCAACGATAGCAAGAGTTTTGCGAGCCCTCCACACACACAAACACACACACACACACACGCCCATTAATCTTAATGTTGTTTCAGCTGTAAGACGAAATGGACAAGGCGCCATCACGGCAGCTGTCATTCGTTCTGCTATTTGCTCTGCTGCTGCTGGGATKGATTGGCTGTGTGACGTCACAGCGCACGTCATTGGATTTGGCCTTCAGGAACGCCTACCGGCCACTGCGCTTGCTCAGCCTGGCCTTCACCGGGCGATCCGGCGACGAGCCGGCGAACGTGCAGCGCGTGCGCAATGCCGGCGTAAGTCTTGTCCTGCTGCGCCTCTTACTATCCATTCGCTAGCCTCCATTCGTGTTGCTCTTTCAGAAAACCCAAAAGTCGAATCCGCGCACGCGCGCCCTTCTCCAATTCTGCGACACGGAACGGGGGCCCGGCAGACGCAGTGCTGAGCGGCCGACGAGCGTGCATCGACTGCGACCCGGCGACATCGACATCATTGGCGGCATGGGCGACTCTCTGACCGCGGGCAATGGCATTTTCGCCACCAATCTGGGGCACGTGACCGTGGAGAATCGAGGCGTGGTCTGGTCCATTGGCGGGCAATACAATTGGAAGAAATATCTCACCTTGCCCAACATACTCAAGGAGTTCAATCCCAAGCTCTATGGCTACTCGCTTAGCGACGGCCTCTCCACAGATCGCTCCTCGCGCTTCAATGTGGCCGAGCTGGGCGCCATGTCCCGCGACATGCCCTACATGGCCAAGGTGCTGGTGAAGCGCATGAGGAACGATCCCCACGTGAACATGACCCGGGACTGGAAGCTGGTCACCATGTTCATAGGCAACAATGACTTCTGCGCCGACATTTGCTTCCACCCACAGCCGGAGCAGACAATCAAACTGCACCAGCAGAACATGCTGAAGACGTATCGCTATCTACGGGACAATGTGCCGCGGCTCATGCTGAATGTGGTGCCCGCTCCAAATCTACGGTTTTTGACTGAGCTTACCGGGCTGCCGCCCGTCTGCCAGACCACGTTGACCTTTGAGTGCCCTTGCCTGATGGGCAAGAGCAAGAAGCGCTTGGATTACCTAGAGAGTATCATGAAGCGCTGGATAGCCAAGGACTACGAGATTGCCAACTTGCCGGAGTTCAACTCAGACGTAAGTCCATGAAGGAGCCACAGAGAAATACTCTAAGCATCGCTCATCTCTTTGCAGACATTCACCATCAATGTGCAGCCCTTCTCCCAATTCGACGATTTTCCGCGCACGTCCTCTGGCACGACGGACACGCGGTTCTTCTCCGAGGATTGCTTCCACTTGAGCCAGCGGGGCCAAGCCTCGGCGGCCAATGCGATCTGGAACAATATGCTGGAGATGCCGGGCGAGAAGAGCGGCTTCAGCGAGCACCTGTTCGAGAGGTTCAACTGCCCCACCGAGCAGCGTCCGTACCTGATCACCAGAGTGAATAGTCGGGCCGACTTCGTCGTCTAGTCCGACAATTGCCAGCCTTTATATTAGATAACTGACATCGACTGTGATACGTCGCCTTAGTCTCGACCATTTTTGTTTGTAGTATTCGTTTACGCTTTTATAAATAAACGCTTAGAAATTAGAAAACTTCACGACGCGTCTAATGAGTAAGTCAAACGATTTGCGCATATCTGATGAGGGCCGAGCGAATCAGCTGGTCGAAGTCAGAATTCGCTAGCTCATTTCCATATCGGCGTCTGGATTGGGGACTGGAATGCGCGTGTGACTGGCACTCGCACTGAAGTCGGCCGCTACTTACATATTTCCCATAATAATTAGGATAGGGTATCTCTGGCTGGTATCGAAATACTTGTAGTATTACTTGATTAGATGGGAGAAATGTTTGCTTTAGCAGAGCTACACTGAAAGAATTGAGCTAAAGTTTTCGAATTCTCCATTCTGAAATGTTCAGAAAATAATAATAATAAATATAGTAATGATGTAAAAGATGATAATTACTAATGTGAGTTTAGTTAAAAATTATGAGAGTATCGGGTCTCAAAATAATATTTAAAGCAAAAGTGAAATAAATGATTAAATTAAATTATTAAAAAAAAAAAAAAAATTATA